TTTCGTATTGGGGCGCGTAATCCCGCATTCGTGTATGATCGCGGTACATGAAATAGAGATTAATTACAATAGTGAAATAAGGTCAGGGCCTTAAAATATTTCCACCACAATCTAGTTGGCATCCAGTTTAAAATTGTAATCCAATGTAATGTAATGCTCTTAAATCAGCTCAACCAACCACTCAACGTGTGATGCCATGGAATTTAGAATGGTGCCCAGATACTGGTGCTATAGTATTCGATGGTGAAATTTTTGAACTGTTTTGTCACTTTACTCATTTTCTTTTAACGACTGTTCTCAGAAGCAGTGGTGACAAGTTTCGCGAGACGTCACTTGTCGAGACGGGGACATCCCGCTGGCCTGCAGCTGGTGGAGGTTCGAGACACCGCAGGCGTCTCATTGACCTGCTGCCGGGTGGGAGTTCAAGACGCAAGTCTACTCATCACCACTGGCGTTTGTCGCTTTGGCGTTAGTCGCCTTTGACGTGTGTCGTCAGTTGCGTTAGTCGCATTGGCGTTTGTCGCCTTGGCGTTAGTCGCCTTTGACGTGTGTCGTCATGTGCGTTAGTCGCACGGGCGTTAGTCGCCCTTAACGTTTGTCCTCAGTTGCATCAGCCGCCATCAGCGTTGGTCGCCACTGACGGGAGTCGCCACTGACGGGAGTCGCCACTGACGGGAGTCGCCACTGACGGGAGTCGCCACTGACGGGAGCCGCCAGTGATGGAAGTTGCCGATTGCGTGAGTCGCATTGGCATGAGCTGCACTTCTATGGTGTTGGTAGCCCTTCAAAGGCGTGAGTCACCCGACAATGGTAATGTACTGTGGGGATGTGAAATTGTTGGGATACCGTCGATTTCACACCTTTTTCTTTATTTTCACTTTATCTGTCTTGGATGCTGTTTAGCTTACATTACTTTGTTTATTTGAAAAACATTTAGACACTACACTCATGCAAACAATAATGTTTCCGATAGTAATGGTGATGTTATTTCAAAATTCAGGATGACAATGTTAAAGGTGCTTCGGCCGGATCGTCTATGCCAAACCTTGAAGACGAAGATCGGGAAGGTGGCGCAGTAGGCGAGGCTACTACTGAAAAACAGAGAGAATGTGGCCGAGGACGACCAGGAGTCAGGAGAGGCCGAGTTAGGAAACTCCTTGGTCAAGAAACAAAATAGAAGCCGAGTTAGGAACTCCTTGGAAAAGAAACAAAATAGAAGCAGTGCGCAAAAAGAAACATCGGCACTTTCTGGTGGTCCGTCGTCGAGGCAACATCGCTCATGGGTTTTCGACTATTAATATTGGTTTAGCAATTAGTCTAAGGCTATTTTAAGGATATTACTCTGTAAGTACTTTAATTGTTGTTTAACTGGAGTTAGCAGGTTATCATTTCATTCCTTTATTTACCTTTTATATTTGTTCATTTTAATTAATATCGCATAGTCAAATTGTCAAATGTCTTACTGTTATTTTATTTTTAAAAATCCGAACGAAGTTCCTTAATATATTATTAAACTAACTTTATTACAACTAAAGTCTGAAAAGAATCATAGGATCCATTAACTATTTTAAACCTATAAATTTTATTCAAGCTTTTGAAATTGATTTTTTCAAGTTTTTCAATTTTCAGGTATTTTTAAGGTTCTAAATACATATAACTTAAACAGTTTTACACTGAGCATGAATTCAAACTATGGTTTTCATACTAATAGGAACACGATCATAATTGAGATTTAAACTAAACAAAGCTTTACTTTCAAAGATATCTTCAGATGACCTCAAACCATTGTTTGTGAGACGACGTCGTCGGTAGTTGAGAGCTGACTGAAAGAATACTTCGAATGAAGTAATATTGCACTGACAGAGATATTTGCATTTTCGTATTCGGCTTAAAATAAATTAATCAAGAGAGTTTTTTGTAACTTTAATAGCAATACGTAATTGTAAATTATATGAAATAAATTCATTGATATATTTTGGTAAAGTTACATGTACATTGTACTTGTATATTTAAATCTTCGAGTTGGGAAACTTTGTAAGAAGATAATTTTTTTTTTTTGAGACTTCAGACAAATAGACTAATATATGAAATCTATTCGAAGATACAATATTCATAGAATTAAGTTATATCAGAGAAAATAAAATAATATAACATTATCAACTTCTACATTGGAATCAGACATTGGGTATTGTTTCTACTGCTGAGAACCGATCACATCAAGACCATCGGTCGGTGATTCTCCCATGAACAGGCTGCTTCTTTATTCAACTGTTTTTCCTGATGATGAGATATCAAGTCACGAAAGCAACAGGTCACAAGTTGTTAAAATGTATTCCTAAAACCTACATTATAATTAACTTTGTTCCAATCGTTATATTCACCAAGAATATTTAATAGTTTTTGATGGACTGTGGTCAAGATTTACCAAGACGATACCATGTCGATATTGTATAAGTTTCTGTGTTCAATTAATTATCGGTACCAACAAGAGTAAGTCTCTGACTGTGTAGTAGCCAACACGTGACTATAACATACTGACAAGTCATGAATTTGATTACTCGTACTTAGTTCTTGTTTTGTTTACAAGAGTAAGTGTTTTATGAAAGGGATAGCTTATTGCCACCTTAATACATTAATGACATTAAAATTGGTTTAATTTAATGATTAATTAATAAAGTGATAACAATCGCTGAAACATTGGTTCATATACTTTATGAATATATCAAGAGGCCTAGCGAGATGACGAAATGAACAAGCAAATTATAATAACACAAGGAATGTACTAATGTTATTTATAACTGAAATTCGATTTTACGGATCGAACTATATATAAATACTTTTGATGGAAAATGCCTCTCGGTTGTTCTACAAACATAACACCGTTATTGTTTCGGAAACTAAACTATAATAAAACTTATATAAAGCCAAAATGAACGCATGTTATTAGAACATTGGCTTGGAAAGGGTCCATTACTAAAATTTGCCAAATACTCTTTTATAATAAATAAATTATTTTACCAAATTGCATCCTTTTAATGAAAATACTTTATTTTTTTATAAAAGAAGTTACTTTTAATTAACTAAATTCATTTCTTATTTACAGATGCGCAAAGTTTAATATTTATTTTTTCTATATGCAAAAACATAAAAAAGTTCGATTTGACAAAGAAAATTAAAAATAAATAATAGTTCAGTTCCTTGTATATACTACGGTGAGTTTCTATTTCTGATCTGATCCAAACTAAACCTTTGCTTATGTTCATCAATATCATTATTTTTATTCGGAATAAAGATAAGTTGGTACGTAAATGAGTCCTACAAGCTAATCATTTGAATATTTTTATTTTTTTTGTCATTTTGACTCAGATTAGATTGTAACTCTTTGTATTAATCCCAAGACTTACTTTTCTCTTACTCACAAAATCATATACAGACCAATAGTTTTAAATTATAGAAAAATAATTGATTACTAATGTTAATACTGTTGGATGACACGAAACAAAATAATTCAGATTTCATAAAAGTACTTTAATAAGTGTAATTTCAAAATGTAATAAATTATATTCAAGTAATCGACAGAATCAAATAATTCTTTTATCCAGATCGAAGTCCTCAAATCCTCTGAGGTTTGTAAAAACAATTTTCTGTGAAGTTTATTTTAAAATAAAAATAAAAGTCAACTGATGCGTCCTCGTAGTTTCTCGTAAACACCGCCGTCGATAAATTGACGAAACTGTCCAATTTAACTTTATTTACGGACATGTGGTGTTCTATTTCCATCGATATATCTCTCTAGTTTACATCTACTATATAACTTGTTAATAAAAACAAATTTAAAGATCCGCCATCACTGCGCGGCTCCTTGAAGCCTGCTATCAGCTTCTTATTATCAGATGAGACATTCATAACACAGTAAATAAATTTTATTTTATTTACCAAAAACACATTATCACCTTTAAATATTAAAACTAAAAATATTGTTTGGTTACCGAAATGACATATCATAAATGTATTTACTTTGGTTACAAACTTGAGATTTAAGACCTAAAGCTTACACTTGACTAACTTTTACTCAAAACTGTGAGTCTCTTTCTCGTATTCCTTTGTGAATTTTAACTTCACAGAACTTATTAAATGAGTGTCATGAAACTGGTCTTACAAATAGATGAATTATATCTAAGATAAAGTTATAAAGAGTGTGGGTTTGCTTATGTACATTATTTGTAACTAAATTATCGACGGGAAAAAAAGAATTATCAGCTACAAAAATTAAATTGTCTATATCGTGTCATAGGAACCGTTAGACCCTCATTTAATTGCTGTAGATAAACAAATATGAAGAATTTTTTACTACACTGTTATAAATCGAGTCGCATAGGATTTGAGCACAAAAGTTTAAAAAATACTAGTAAACCACAAGCTAAATTAAATAAAAATACATATTTCCAATCACACATACTCAGAAATATTTAATAAATAGATTATGATATAATATATAAGAATAATTAAAAGATGACTTCAAAAGAAGTAACGAAGAGTAATAGGAAAAAATAATGTTAGGTGGGTTTAACGGCTCGGCAGATTTACCTATTAAGAGAAAAAATAATAAAAAAATAGTTTTGGAACTATACAACGGTCCTTGCAACTATGTTTACAAAACACATTAATAACCTATTTGAACTTTATTTAAAAACAGAATCTAAATCTCTCTCTTACATCTCAAAAGGCCCCGTTTTAAATTATATTTAAAACTCGTTGAGAGTAGTTTAATCCCTGACATATAAAAATATAAATATAATAGTAAATAAAGCGATGGGTGTTGCTAAAACGGATTAGGAAATACTTAGCATATAGGCGCTCTGATTCCTAGACTATATCGAGCGAAGGCGCGTGCCAGCAGTTGGACTATTATTAAACTCAAACATCGACACGTACCATCTCATTTATTTACAAGCTCTATAAATAACTATGTACACAGTTTACATAAGTCGAGTGTGACGTCACGTGAGGAGCTTCATCATCATCATGATGACCAGCGAGCCCAGTGTCCGCCCCACAGCCGCTAGGAGGCTCCTGTCTTTGATACAGCCGCCCCCGCTCACACGAGCGACGGCCTGGTCACGCTGCATCCACTCCAACTCACCGACTGAAGCAGAAAGAACAACAACCTTCATCATACAACAAACAGATCTTCTAAAATATTCAATTATTTAAGCAGCTTTAAAGACACCGCGGCCTTTGTTTTATATTCGCTCGCTACTATACAGTATGACCCAGATTATTCATTGACATTCCTATCAAGCTTTCAAATTTACGAATCGAGAATATATGAAAATTGTTGGGTCATGGCAACAACATATTTTTGGCAAATTATGCGTACCTACAAACATTTTCATTTTTTTTCCTCTCTAACACGTGCCAGATTAGATGGAGATGAAAAAGTAAATATTTCACTGTGAAAACATTGTACTGTGGAATATTTCATTCGCTTCAGTGAGCCAAATAACAAAATAGAAAAATCTATTGAACACATACCAACAGATCTATGTATAATTTGTTATTTTGGCCGCTTTCTAAAGCTACAAAGATTCGTACGAGATCATTTATGGTGAGTACTACAGCCTCCTCATAATAGCTCACTAGCTAAAACTTCGCCAAGCTATTGAGCATTTGAACTTTGTATCTACATATATTGTTATTTATTATAGCATTAGTTTTGATTCATTTTATCATTACAGAAAAAACAGTATCAAAGAAACAGAGAAGATTTTATTGTTCAAAAGTCGAGTCACAAAAAAAAAGTACCTAAGCAAGATTATTAGCATCTTGAATGTTATAGGATAACGTGTGTCAGTGTGTCATGTATTAGTTAGTATAATGACTCACCTTCAGGTTCTATCTCCTGGTCGTGTTTCAACCTGAGTTGTGTCACAGCCCCTGTGTCTCCTACTCCGCACCAGTACCGGCCAGCGTCACGAGTCGTCACATGCGCCAGGGTCAGTCGAGACACAACCCGCCCCGACCAGCGCTCCGAGTCCAAGGAGATACCTCCGCGTGGACTCTGAACAGAAGAAAACATATGACGTTATAACTATGAAAATATGCTTTAGTAACTTAAAAAATCGTGGTGGTCTAGAGAATAAGGGCCCGCCTCTTATGCATCAGAGAGCTCGGGTTCATAACCTGTCTAAAAAAAATGAAATTTTTCCCAGTCATGTGTACACTTAAGAGTACTTAAACACAACTGACAGACGGTGAATGAAAACATCGTGAGAAAACCTGGACTTAACTTCCAATTATAAGTTTGAAATCGCCAATTCGCCTTGAGCAAGCTTGGTTATTAATGCTCAAACATTTTTCATGTGAGAAGAGGCCTTTACTCTAAAATGAGCTCTAACAGGCTGTTGATGATGATGACGATGAACTTAATAAGATGTTTGGGGGTTGTTTTAGTGACGTTATAAAAATGGAAATTTAGAGAATGTCTTACTATACAGGGTGACTGGTGAATTACTATCGATATTTGAGGACGTGATTTGTGACGGTCATATATGACAAAATAAAAATTAATATAACATAAATATTAATAAACTTCTAAGTAAAGTTTACCAAAAGTTATGTAATTAATTACGCATCGTGTAAACACCCTACAGATTAGGTATACACCCACACATACGAGTGCGGCGGCGTTGTGTTGTATCAGCACGCCGCCGCACGCGTCCACACTTGGAACACTTGGAACGTGTCAACACTTTATTTATTTATACGGAAATTTTGTCAAAAATTAAGTGCCTTTTTTTTACATAATTCGAATGAGAATCATGTACCGAGTATCCTCCTTAAATATTGATAGTAATTCACCAGTCACCCTGTATACTTACTTGTGGGTCGATCGTTTCCCCTTCGTGTTTCCAAGTGATCCTCAGCGGTGGCAGGGCTGCCAGCACCTCGTCCTGTAGCACGGAGCCTGCTGCAGGTTCATAGCGAGCCTCACACGTGAGTCGAGCTCCACGAGCCTCCCCCTCCCCGACCACCCACACCACGTCACCGGGATCAGTGTTCAGAGTTCGCACCACCACCGACGGTAGAGATGTTTCTATCGAATATCAATTCATATTCTTTCGTTCATTGTTATATTAAACGGGATAGTTTCCAAGATCTTACTTGATAGTAGTATTGATGGTTATGAGTATGAGTAGAATAGTATTCGGAATATAAGTAGAATATTCATAAAACAATTTTGTTTTAAAATATATACTACAAAAATTACCTGACATTTTTAATCTATTTTAATATAGCAAAAGTACGATACGATGAGTATATTTTGTATAATGCATTTCTTAAATCTTTCTAATCTAAAATTAAAAACTATTATTTTAACTAACCTACAACTGTCAGGTTGAAGAACAGACTCAACTTTGGTTCTGTGTTGATCTGACACTCGTATCTGCCAGAGTCGCTGACTCGAAGCCTCTCAATCTTCAAGGTGTGAACGCTCCCCGCGGTGTTCCAGGAGTCATCTCGTGACGTCAGGATGCCTCCTCTGTACAGAGACAGGTCTCCGGTGGGGTCATCGACCTCCTCAAGGTCACTGTTATAAGGAGCCTCGGAACATGAGACTCGTGAGTCGGCCGTGAACACCGCTCCAGCGTGAGTCAATATTTGAAGGTCACTCGAACGCACCCAAGATACCTGATGACAAACTCAAACTATATGTTAGGTGTCCATATGAACTTTCTATATACGTTACTACTCGTGGTCAATTAAAAGATTTTATTCAAGTCTTAAAAATCATAGTCCGTGTCTTCTCATTCAGTCTCCTTGTTTTAAAAGGTTTGTTTTGTTATCTAAAATAAAAGTAGTTCGTTACGAGTTCCTTAAATAAGATAGAAATCTAAATCATTTCCATCGTAACGTTGATACGGTCCAAATAATTGGATGCAATTTTAAGAATTGAAGAAAAAATTAAAAACTAAAAATTATTATATTATAATGTTATTGTTATTATTAATGTTTGATTCCTACGATCGAGCATGTGATTACCGTGTTAGTAGTAGTGACACTACGTTCTCGAATGTTGGCAGCGCGCGCTTCCGGGAAGCACGCGTGCCGCTATATCTGGACGGAGCGAGTCGTTGACCGGCTTTATCTAATCGCTCCGACGACATCGGTTCACTCGTGAGTGACGTCACTCAGAGGATTCGCAAATATTTCCGTCGAACACGTCCTCGTCACCTCACAAATGACACTCACATCACAAGGCGACGCTCGTGTGTCGATATAATGTATTTATAGACGAGCGTTTGTTCCACGCGCGGTTGACTGGCGCTTCACGCCACTCTGACATCAATTCTAATGGATACTTATAACATAAATTTAATTACCATACAAATTGAATACTATTAAAATGTTTTACATTAGAAATTTAATATTTGAAGATTCTAAATACAACAGAGATACATATGTACATATACTAATTACTATAAATATTGATAGGAGCTACATAGTGCTGGCGCTATGTTCGGACATCCGACGTGGACTCGTGCCATTGACATTCATTTATTATTTTTAGTGTTCCGGACACCGAGCTCGCTCTTATTTCCCTGAACACATGCCTCACATTACATACATACTTTCCACTATTTATTAGAATTTAAATATTCTCCTACACATTTACATATGGAACACGCTTGTGTGGGCGCCAACATTTAGTGTCCCCTCGCTACTACTAGCTGGTGACACGATTTGAATAACACACTTAGGGAACTATCGAGTTAACTAATTAAGTTAAAAAACCATTATGAATCATTGGATTACCGAAAGAGGTTTAAGTGACATCTATTATATTAATGTAATTAGACGTGTTGGATATAAAAAAGGAGTTTGATAAATTTTACTCATTATCATTTTTACTTCTTGTCTAGTGTTTGCTTCATATTAAAACAGAAAGAGAACGGAAAAAAATCTGAAAAATGCTAGTTAATAGATTACTGGTGCTGACAATCACATAATATAAGACAACAAAATAACTCTGAAGGAAGATCGAAGATAATTCGTGTGTCATGCTGTAAAAACATTTGTACTGTTTGAATATTCTATGTTTCAATATGTAGTGTATTCATTACCACTCTGTCGCCCAGCCTGGTAACGCGACACTTGAGCTCCGCGACTTCTCCAACACGACCCACCACCGACCTCTGTTGACGGACGGAGAAGGACGGACCCGCGGGACCTTCAAACATAGAATAATATACATACATTAAAAACAATTACATAGTATACGAGTATATATTGAAAATTTGTTTTCATTAAAAATATCACTAAAGATATATCTAGTAGGAAAATCAAATTACAAATGGAACCGAGTCGAACAAAGTTAGTGAAAAGGGAGTTTGAAAACGTAAAAGTTGTACTCGTACTAATAGTTTTGCATCAAAAACTTTCACTTTGACTTGTACCATTAAAAAAAACATTCAAACATACGATAAAACTTATTTTTCTTAAAACAAACCAATAGATATGTTGGTAATAAATAGTACATTTATATTAATTAATGATGTATTTGCTAAAATTTCCAACCCAATAAAAATGTATGAAGATAATTCAGGCGCTGTAGCTATTGCTAAGTATGGAAATTTTACCAAGAACTCTAAGCATATTGAGGTGCATTATCATTATATTCATGAAAATTTCAAATCAAAGTTAATTGAAGTTATTAAAATAGAGTCTAAAAGTAAGGTTGCTGATATATTAACTAAAGCTTTGGGAAGTGTTTCTTAAATTCAGAGAACTGTTAAACATAAAAAATTAGAGAATGTTATGTTAGTTCTGTTATGTTTTTTTATTTAAGCAATATAAAACATTATAATTAAATACTCGTATCATAGACTGTTTGCAATATATAAGGAGGCGTGTTGGTAATAAATAGTACATTTTTATTGGCTATACTGTATATTCTCTATATATACTATGGTATTGTTATTCTACATATGTTTGTCTTTGATATGCCTATTTTTAAAAAATTAAAAATGGTGTGCTTTGAAAAAAGTGTAGTCCTTAATAAAAATAGATTATGAACATATAAAACAAGTGTTATTCTTCATATTAAGAAGATATTACTCATAGATATGATTCATTTTTATATATATATTGAGTAATTTATCACATGTTTCAAGTTGTTTAATGATATATTAAAATTCATACATGTCATAGTTGTAATTTATATTTATTATGTTTAATGATCACTCATTTTCAATGGAAATATTTTTTTTAAATCACAAGAGCTCCAAGCATTCATTACTCGGCCGCTCGGTCGGCTGCTCTGTAACCTGACATAACACTATCGCAAATTTATAATTTCAGACACTGTGTGGATTGGTCATAATTAGTGTGGGGGTCAAGGTCATACTTTAAGCAAACTCTGGACTGAAATTCACAAGGACACAACAGATCCCGCCGTCCTAACGAAGCCAACTGGATAACAACGAAATGAATGGAGAGGGACAAGCCATGAAAGAATTGCACCGGAGACTAGACTGTTTATAAAACATGAATGTAACAAGCAAGATCTGGGTTGTCACTAGTATGTTTATTACTTACATTAATATAAGATTGTTTCTTTACAAGAACTTTGTTAACAAATGCTGTCTTATTTACTTGAAGGAGTGCCTGAAAAATTTATCACTATCATTTTAACAGAAAACAGCAAAAAAGGTATCATGAAAATACTCCTGTACCATTACCCCATTCATTTAAAATGATACTTATTAAAATTATACAGTTAGATATAATTCATTTGTCTTTTATTAAACTAATATAAAAAGCCAGCTTAAGTACTGACAGTGTAGAGAGCTGCGAATTGCGATAGATTATAAAAAGAAACGCTTCTAGTTAATGAAACAGGTGAGTATTCATAATATATATTTTAAGAAATTTTTTCTTAGAGTTTATTACATTAAACTGAAGTCTACGAAAATATTCGAAACATGGTTTGTTAGGAAAGTATACTAGACGTGATATGTTTCGAGAATCCTTCATTATACATATTATCAAATAATTTACGAAACAAAATCCAAAAAATTATTGACATTATGAATTTTACATAATTATATACACTAGCTGTGGATCGCGATTTTGGCAGACTAATAAACCCCATTAGAGATACCCGCTATCATATTAATTAAACTTCATTTGGATTTTCAAACAACCTTTCGAAAGTTACTGAATTAATGGCAATAAGACTACCTGAAGAAAACAGTCTTTCGATAAAAAAAAATATCCTTTAATTGATAGAAGATGTATGAGCTTAGCAATTATATATCGGAACAGAGAAGCTTCTCGTTTTTGAAGACTGTTATAAAATAATTTATGTTACTATGCCGTTACTTATTCGGAAGTAAAATTCCGGCTTAACACTTTCACACCATAGAAGATATTAGCCGGAACAAATAGGCAGACGGACAAAAATTGACAAAATTTGTATTTTTCTTCTACGTATATGTATAGTTTCACGTGCTTTTACTGAACAAGTAATAATTTATGTTTTAATCGAGATTTGGAATGTTATAAACATTAAAATCATTCTTAATAACAAAAATGTTACATAAATCATTATTGTTCATTAAATAGAGTAAAGTTGTCACCACCTTCCAATAAATCATATGAAATAATGCGACAGTTGTAAATTAATGGTGAAAGGCTACAACTGATTTTGAGAATATCCCAATTTTAATTGGCAATGTTATGTATTGATTTTAATAAGTATTTAGAATTTTATAAAAATATAAAGAAGATTTTTATTATATCAAACAGTTAAAGTAAATACAATAAAATTTAACCGAATGAATGTTTAAGTACGGAACAAGAGTTTAATAAACTGGTTGTCAAGTCAGGAACAAACAGCTAAAAATGCCAACGTACCTACATGTGTACCTTGTATAGTGTATATGAGTATCTTTATAGTGTAAAAGTATCCATGTACTTATTAAAAAAACGTCGTCTCATCTTTTTACATGTCGCCAGATAAATAATAAATGTATCTATATGTACATATATGTATAACAGTATTATATGTGTAGATTCTTAAAAATCTACCTACTGCACTTCGAACTAAATATTTATTCAAAAATTGAACATGTCGAAACGATTAAAACTCCGACTGAGGGTGATGAAAACGGTGAGCTTTGTCAAGTGAGGTCACCCCTCAAAGATACAAATAATGCAATTAGGAAACATATGCGACCACGCATCTCATTGACACCATATATCTTCAACGTGTCGGAGGAGGAGCAGGAATGTGGTGAGTAAAGGAGGGCGAGCTCTGAGAGAGATGAATGGAGCATGACTGGTGACACACGGGACACTGGCGGGTGACTGGCGGGTGACTGGCGGTGACTGGCGGACCGATACTCTCTGATAAGAGTCCATTATTATGAATACCTAATGAATGACTATGAACAGAAATGATATCTATATAATGTGTTAAGATACGATAAGGTGTAAGGATATATCTGTTTTTATCGAACCATGTGTAGACAGAGACTTTTGTAAGTGATATATAGAAAGTGGCATTTTTGCGAAGTTTTAATAATAGGTTAACTATTTAATTTTAATAGTAGGTTAGCTATTAAAAAGCCGTACAAATTTATCCCCTTAAATCTGTTTTATGTAAAATTACAAAAAAAAAGACTTCAATTTTATTTATTAATAAGTTTTAACAACAACCACTGACTTTAAAACATTTGTATAATATTTTATTCTTATTTAATTATATTATATAGCGACCGGGATAACGCTAAGATGGTGATGATGATTCTTTTAATTTATATATTATCGTGTTGTTTATTGTCTGCGTTATTTCTTCGGAATGGTTACCGACTGTCACTGTATCAGAATGTAAAAACGAGGGTCATTATTATAAACACTTCAAATATAACATACCGGAGCATATGTTGTTTATTGTGAACATAAACATTAGGAGCTGGATCACTGATGGAGAGAGATTATTAAACAACACACGGAATATAATCTTATCAATAAGATTATTGAACAACAATCATAACAGGCATATAATGTATTCTTGATATACTAAATATAATGTTAATGATAAGGACTATTGGAGGTGAGAGCTAGGTACAGAAACCTTGAGTTACAGATGATTGTTTTAAATAAAATAATCTTAAGAGTTCGCGCTGTAAACAATAATTGTAAATAATTGTAAACAAACAAAGTTTGTTACAACAATCGAAGTTCCACCCAATATACATCGGAACCTACAAACTGACCCACTTGAAATCATACTGTAATATAAAACTTTTCTGTTTAAAATCCATGAAATAGTTTTTGAGTAACATTCTGGCTTGCATACATATATCCATACTTCCTCACAAACTTTCGCATTTTGAATATTAGTAACATACTATATAATTTGAAAAGGAATAAAATACACAATCAAACGAGACGTCAAATGAAGCTCCAACAATGATAAACATGATAATAATAAGTTTAAAAGTAATAATTGTATTGTATGCGTAAACTTTTTGTTTTATCGCAAATAATAAATTATTCTGATTACATATTATAACACATCAATAATTTTACATCAATGAGAGAGTAACGTGCAGATGAAGTGTAGATACTCTCATAGAACTGTAAGTAGCATTATAATATGTTTGTGAGTGTGATCGGTCGACCTCACAATATTAACATTTCAACACTTGATCGTGGTTTGTCTATATTTATACGCTGGCATACAAACACAACCGTCTTCCCACACACGTGTTACATTTACTTTTTCATGTACGACTATATCTAATCAGATCCAATTTAAAAACTTAATACTCAAAATCTGTTTGAGACACCATTGCATTTTTAAGAAACCAACGCTAACAAGCAACCTTTATGAACATTCAATAATATTGCAGCTGCATTGTGTAGTATATGTATCTTTTTGAGATCGTTTCTCTTCCCGCATGAGTTTGGTTTAATAGTTAATTAAAGACATTTAATTATGTTTATATAAAAAATAGACTATCAAAATGTAATATCATGGTATTTTGTTCTGATATTAGATTACGGTGTGTTTTATGAATACTTGTCACGCCATTCAATGCACACGTGTCACGTGCGGACCATTACAATAAGGGACCACCGGCGCGGAGAGGGTCGGAGCCACTCTCAGCGCGCGACGTGGTATTATCATTGTTTTAAGCTATATTTTTATAAAAACGTTACTAAAATTGCCTATAAAAAGCTGTATCTCAATTTTAAAATATTATATTAAAAAACGTATTCATATATCGACAATGGCTCCTTTCCTCTCTCCATTCAGGAACTTAATTCACCCCTTGTGTAGTTTCTCCCCTCCTTTGTCATGTTAATGAGATAGCTTCCCGCTTATTTGCTTTCCTAATTACATCAGCGGCCGCTGACGTTCTCATACGACTATACGTTATAATAAATTAGGTTTAATACTTATTTTTATAGTAACAATGGTTGCCCCCAAACATATTTTAGTGTTAAATTTGTTATGACGGATCTTGTTTTATGCTCGTGCAATTTAATCAGTTTGAAAGGTCCAACAAATTTTAAAATTCTATATTGATTCCTATTACTTAGTAGATTTATTTATTAGTAGTTTTCTTTGTACAAAGAAATATATCAATTTAATAAGATATCGTTCAACAAAAAATAAGTATAGAACATATTATAAAACCTACGACGAAAATAACTGTATTGGTGTTAAATGTGGCTTAATAAAAGCCATCATCAGTCATTATTTAGGTACAGCAATTTTTATTTTAGTAATCTGTATGAATGCGTTGTTTTCGTTTTGTTTAAAACTGTAGACAATCCTTTGATCTAAAAATCACATTGAAGAGGTGAATTAAAACCAAGCAACGAGTATTACACAAAAATTCTTCAAAGGGACTCCCGCGGCCATGGAAAATTGACCTAAAATATTTAAATATACTGCGATCGAAGGAAAATATTGATATTTTATATGAGGAGACAGTGTGGAGCGGAGATACGGAGGCGGATGAAAGAACTCAATTAAATCTGTTTATAATGTGGCGCCGGAGTCGGTTTGAACTTTTCTCAAGACGTAGTACATAGGAACGAAGAGAGTATTCACAATGTAATAAAACATGTGAAGTATTCAGAGAAATGTTTTAAATATGCACAGAATTATATCAAATGTCTCTTTGTACTTTCTGTTCGATGCTTCATGATGAGAAATTGGAATTAGTAAATTACAAATATGAAAGCTATATCCATAAACGTTGACAGATATTTCTTTGATCTCGCTTTAAGACAACACGCCATCAGTTCTGTTTCCCTTTATTGTGCGATGTATACACTTGTTTATTGCGAGTACTAATACTGTGTTATTGAGTAAAGGCCAATCGCAGCATCAATTACAGAGGAAACTATTCTGTGATTTGTTTGTTTTCGTGAGTCTCGCACTCTCGACCGGTTCATACGTTGTCGAGGAAACATTCACAATTCCTAACGAGCGAACTCGCCTTTTAACTATTCAACATCTACATAACATATTTGTTTTAGTTTAATGTTTAAAGAACAACCGTTTAATCTAAAGATGTCCATTTCCCTTCGATGAAGTCATCTCGCATCTGGAGCGCCGACGGATCTGAGTCACCGGATTGGAAGGAAGTTAAGTCATTCCACCTACTCCCAAATAAAAATAAATTTCTTTCCTCTATTTTGAATAGCTGCTTTCAGCCTGAGTGCCAAATCATCACGGCCGGTTCATATTTATGATGTTTGGTCGGAAGTCCGCGATCTGTGAGCCGCGTGCCCAGTGCCGCGTGCCGCTTTATACTCGCCTATCACTCGTATGTATGACACACGACATATATCAATATAATTTGAGAGAAACAAATATTTTCAGGTACTGAATATTAATTCGATGTCGTTCATAGAATATTAACATTACATTTGAAACGACTCGTCGCGTTGTGACTCTGACTAATTAGCGAGTGATATTCAAAACTATTTTTAATGAAACTTTGCAAAAAAATTTGCTAGTGATCAGTTTAATGGAATAATAGTTTTTTTCAACCATTTATAGATCGTTGGGAGGAGGAGCCGGCCTCATTCAGTCGACGCCAAATGTTAATAGAGACGTACGTGTAAGAGGTAGCGGAGATGTTGGCTGACCTGCTTCGACATCAATTAATCATGTTTACATACGGTCCTATAACATCTTCGAGGAATTAATAGTCTAAACAGATCTCTGAAACACGACAGGCTTATTAACATCAAATAAACGATATCCGCTGTCTCAGGGACTTGCTATTTGTACAGATTTCATCTTAATAAGATAATTATAATATACTTAAAACATTCAAGGGAAAAGAATGATGAACTTTTAAACGTTACAAATATTTAAACGGTAACAGTAACGGCTCATAAATTTTGATCGGACTTTAATAAAAAGTAATTGGGATCCGATTAGTTCACTGAGAGTTTGCCAACTTTCTGTCATCACGCCTGTACACAACTACAACTAATAAATTATCAGGGGATTTGGAAATTTAGGAAATGTGAACATTGAGATCTGAAACTGATCATGATTATTATTTATAAAGAAATTTATTGCAATGACTTATTAAGATTTCAGTAATTAGTTGCACACAATATTCATATTATAGTATAGCGATGACAATAACTGTTGGAATAGTTAAACTATTATTATTTCCGTATAATATTTGAATAATCTATGACTAATAACTAAGGTGCTTGCTTATATTGATCTGTGTGATATTAATTATAATAAGTAAGGTATCTTACAAACCTGCGAGTGTCGGTAAAACCGCTAACAGCAGCAGCAGCGCACACACACACATGACGCACTACACACACACACACACACGTGCCGGTCTTCTACCCTCCTCCCCTCCTCCCCACTCTCTCTAGAGTCCCACTATCTTCTCACTCATATTGTAACACATCAAGTTTCTCAAGTCTCCTTAAACTGTTACCTGCAACAATATTTCATTTCAAATTAAAATAGGATTTACTTATTAAAACATGTCAATCGTTATGAGATACGTCGATTAGTTTTGATGAATATTAAAGATTGTTACACGGAAAACATTAACAATCAGAAAGTTAATAGAATATATGAACTTGATAATTTATTTCAGAATTATTTAAGCTTCAGACCATGAGATAAAACTGGAAAGCATAGATTAACCTCTTTCAGCACGAAGGAAAATCAAAACATCCGTTCATAAACTTTATAATTTTCAATGTAAATATATTGACTTACAATAATAAAGACACTGACTGGCACTCACTTACATCTCTCAAGTGTCCTTCAAACAATTCATATCTCACACATTACTGACTCCACACATGGATTACATTTACGTTAATTTTATAGTCAATTAAATCGAAACTAGGACAGACTTATCATAATGGCTTCAAATTTATTTTTTTACGATGCTCATAAAATCACAGCTAGAGTTGGAATTGATAACAGATCTCAAAAACTTAATATAGGCTTCATGACATGTACGTGAAGATACTATTAACAGTTGAAAGGTTAAATAATAGATAATAAGTCAATAAATACTTTGACAATTATTTTAAGTAAAGTGGATAAGCAACACGGGGAGAGTGGACGAACGACGAGCAATTTGTAGTTTAGAATGCAAAAAATATGCGATAAATAATTAATTAGTAAGTTTGTGTCTGAGTATAGAGATGAAACAAGTCGAGAGACTGGACTCCGGCTTGGAGCTGAGGAATGTTTGACACGAGAGACTTGGCTGCTGGCTTCTTATGTACGAAAAGAGAATGATACAACTTACTTGAACTTTTGTACTCACTAACACTCTTATCTTCGAAATATATTTCTAATTAACACAATTGCAATGTCAAATGTGTGCCCATTGTTTTCATATAATGCAGATACAGATTATTTTTTTTACTTTTTGAATGGATAGTCTCGAGGTTCTGAGTATTTGTATCGATGGAACAAAGTATAATACATTCCATACAGGAGCTGGTGTCGACAATACGCCTCGCACGAACCGCGAACCAATTAAACTCGCTCTCAGGAACAAAGTGAGCACAAAATAAGACGCTTTAATAGTCCCGGGAACTTTGATCTTTCCGAGGGCTGACCATGATTTACAACATTCGGACGCCGGCCGCCGGCCGCCCTGACTGACATTAAAAAATAATTTTCTTTAAGGAAAGTTATTGTCCGCGCCGGAGACTCTAGCTCTAGGTATAAAGTGGGCTATGGTTCAAGGAACACGATTTGGTAAACATATATAAAATTTCAATTAATATAAAATACATATTTGTCAAACATGTATACAAAAGGCAAATTAGTTACAAGAAAACTCTATTAATTTTGAAACTGGAAAAGATATGTTTCAAATTTACCAACATCGCGTTTCTAATGACAATTTTTGTAAGAAGCCTAAAGCTGGTTCATTGAATGTTACGAATTTAAGGATTTGAATACAAGGACTTTTTTGATTCGACAAATATATCCTATCTTTATATAATAATAATAATAATAATTATCCCTCACGAGAGAAGAGAGCGAGAGTGTGTCCTAAACGCTACGTGACTACTTTGAGGGCTGAGCGATGTTCGTTCCGAGCGTTCTATTTGTGGACGTTCGCAAATAGCACGCGCCCGGAATAACGTGCAAAGGTCGCAGGACCACTAGTACCAGCTGCTGGGGACGAGGAGCGGCTCTGAGGAAGAGTGGCCGAGGACAGAGGACGAGGGACGAAGGACGGAGGTCAGAGGTCAGAGGAGGAGGGACCGAAGATGACCAAAGACGGGAGATGGAACGCGCGTAACTACGGACTAGTGACACGCCGGTAGCACGATCGGTAAAGACTTTTGAGATGGATGCTCTGCTGACGTTCAGTTATAGATTTACAATTTATTTGCATCATATTATTACTTTGAAAATTATATTATTTTATAAAGTCTGCCACAGAAACCCCCTCCCCCCCCCCCATGAAGAACTCGAATAGTATAGAATAATACTTTTTCAATAGTAATAGAGTTCTCTTTTCAATCTCCGCCAGTCAATGCTAGAAATGTTCTGAATGTAACAAGTCGAATATGTCGAGACATGTGGCCATGTAAGAATGTTTATTCGCGCCTCTGTACTCTTTCTATTCCTTATTTGGTGGTAATATATTTATAATAAAGATTAGTTTTTAATTATTATAAATAAAAATAATGACAATTGTAACAAAATCACTTTAAACCTTTTACTATAAAAACTGTTAATATTGTAAGGTTTCAAAGTTTTCACAGATTTCTTTATATTAACCACATGCGGGTTTTCGTATTCTTCTTTTATTAATAAGTTATATCTGGATGTCATACAGTAAGACCTCGGTATAATTTCCTTATCAATGCCGACTGCCGAGAATGCTGTAGATCTTAAATATGTATAATCACAACAAATAGTTACCATACTAAAAGAGCATAAAAACAATCAATGTTATGATAACAGTTTGCGGTGTAAAAGTTGCTTGAAAAGTTTTCGTGAACAACTTTGTAAGAGATGCTTCATGCCAAAGAACTTTATAGAAGATCAGTATACTTACCACAAGTTTGAATCGCCACACTATACATACAGCGTTTCTATTTTTTCAACTTTATTGAATTGAAAAATAGTTCAAAACCCTGCGTATGTATTAAAACGATTCAAAGTTTTAGTTAGCAACTGTCGTTAAATTCCTAAATGTAATAAACTGAAATGTAACCATTGAAAAAAATAAACATAACACACATAACCAACTATTTTAATTAATCTGCCATAATTATTTACATGCAAAACATACATCAAATTTTTACCATAGTTTTTAGGGTTGAGATTTCAAACTATACAGAGACAGGATCGACACAACACGATACTCATTAATATATCAGAAGCGATTCGTTGTCGCTTCACACGCAGCGCGCGTCACAGACATGCGTCCGCGCGGCTTCACTAGAGAACACGCACTATGACCGATGACTTCGACACGAGACGTGACGAGCTCCTACGAGCTACGACTGACACGAACACATGAAGGGTGGACACGGGACACACATACAACACTATACTCACGACCCTCGTGCTGGAGTCTACACGTGGTTGAAAAACTTGCAAAATACTCGCGACACAGACCCTCCAACAAACTTACAATGTAACATAAAGTTGTGATAACAATTACGGTTATGACAACCAGAGAACTCTAAAAAACACAAGTTTTACTCTAATTAATATATTTTAAATTCAAAGTTACAATCTAACTTATTATAAGATTCACTAATGATCTAATTTCACGAATAAGTGTTTACTAAAAAAGCGGGTTGCAGTAAGGAAGAAATATATAAATAACATAAAAAAGCATTTAATGCGTTATAATGATAAATAGACAAAGAATGTATTGTAATGGTTGTCTTTTATGTCACTGTTATTTGAATGTCTTCGCTTAGAAAATTAAATACCTAGTGTTTAGTATTTACTATTTTTCTCCACATCACCGTCCGGTGTCTCCCGGCGCCCACTGATAGCACCAGCTCGACAGAAGTAAGAACACAGAACTTTAAAATAAACCTTCAAAAACACATACTTTTCAAAATAGCTGTTTTATTTAAAGTGAATCGTTAACAGTCATTAAATAAAAGAAAAAGCAGTTTTTCTACTTATAATGATGGTAAATATTGAATAATGTGAATACTGTTTATATAATGCTGTAATTATAATATAATAGGTAATTAAGAAGCTTTATTAACTTTTAGTCAATCCGCGTGTCCACAAAGTTATACATATATCTAACAGTTCGTCTCAGAACAATACTTTAGCTCTTTTATGGAATTCGTAAACAAAGTGTTATCATTATATATTCTGTTTGTACACATTACACGTACATATGTATATGTATATTGTATTAAGTATGATAAATGTTAAATAATGCATTATAAACAAATATTGTAGATTGCAGTTCATTGTTATCGTGTAATCACTGTAGGTATATTCCTATCATACATCACAACTCTATTCATATACTCGTATTTTATTTCTCGTCACTCGTCAGTGTCGTTCTAACAGTGAACTTGGTTAGGCGCAGTCTTACACTAAAACTAAATAACCTCTCAAAACGTGTTATTTCTAAGTAGTTTGTTTTCACTTCGATGTTCCGAGATATATAAGTAATTCATTATGATAACGTTCATGTTAGTGTTAGCGGCGATTATCGCTCTATACTTATACGGAACTAAAACTTTCAACTACTGGAAAAATAAAAATGTGAAACACGATAAGCCGGTGCCATTCTTCGGTAATAATACAAACAATTATATGATGCGGTCGAGCGTCACCCAGCTGGCTGTGGAGACCTACTGGAGGTATCCGACCGAGCGAGTGGTGGGCTTCTACCGAGGACTGAGACCCGAGCTGGTGGTGAGGGACCCCGAACTGGTGAAACGTATCCTTGTAACAGACTTCGCCAGTTTTTATCCGCGCGGTCTTAACCCGCTTAAAGAAGTCGAGCCGCTGCTACGGAACCTGTTCTTCGCTGACGGAGACCTGTGGAGACTTCTGAGACAGCGCATGACACCCGCCTTCACGAGCGGCAAACTGAAGGCCATGTTCCCGCTCATCGAGGAACGAGCCGAGCGACTCAGAAGCCGCGCGCTAGCTGCAGCCACCGACCGCCGGCCCGTGGACGCACGAGACCTCATGGCGCGGTACACTACGGACTTTATAGGTGCTTGCGGGTTCGGACTCGACTCCGATTCGCTGCAGGATGAGAATTCTGCATTTCGGAAGCTCGGAGCTACAATATTCAATGTATCCGCTAAAGATGTTATCGTCGCAATTCTCAAAGAGATGTTTCCGAGAATTTTCAAAAATTTGAGAGTTTTGTCTCGTCTGGACACGGAGATGATGGCGCTCGTGAACGAAGTACTACGACAGAGGAACTATGAGCCGACAGGAAGAAATGACTTTATCGACCTGATGCTGGAATGTAAGAAAAAAGGAACAATCACTGGTGACTCGATCGAGAGAGTGAGTGTTGACGGCTCGCCGGAAAGAGCGACCATAGAGATGACGTATGAGCTGATCGCCGCTCAAGTATTCGTATTTTTCGCCGCCGGCTTTGAGACCTCATCCTCCGCCACGAGCATCACACTACACGAACTGGCTCATCATCCGGAGGTTCAGAAAAAGATTCACAGAGAGATAGACACGGTGCTCGCGAAATACGAAAACAAGCTCTGCTACGAGGCTATAAAGGAAATGACCTACCTGGAGTGGGCTTTCAAAGAGGGGATGAGAATCTTTCCATCTCTAGGGTTCCTCGTGAGACAGTGCGCCAAACGGTACACCTTCGAAGAACTCAACCTTACCATAGACGAGGGAGTCAAAGTCATAATCCCACTTCAAGCTCTGCACAACGATCCTGAATACTTCGATAACCCGACCGAATTTCGTCCGGAGAGGTTCGACCCGAGTAACTCCAGCGGCCGTGACAAGTTCGTGTACCTCCCGTTCGGCTCGGGTCCGCGCGCGTGTGTCGGTGAGCGGCTGGGAGTGATGCAGTCCCTGGCGGGGCTGGCGGCCGTACTGTCCCGGGTGAGGGTCCAGCCCGCGCCGGGAGCTCCGAGGAACCCTCGTGTAGACACACGCTCCAACCTTGTGCAGGTCGTGCGAGGAGGTCTACCGCTCATATTCACTGACAGACGAACTGATTAAATGCGACAGTTAAATCATTCATACTTATATGGGAATAATGCTCGTTATATAGTACACGAGGCATAAGCTGAGCTTTGCATTTGTGTGAGTGTACAAGGATAGTGTAGGTGTGATGTCAAATTTTTGAATGCCACGTGCTTTTCTAGGTTTGAACCGGTTTATACTGCTTTAACTCCACCCCGCACCATCCACACTTGACCCTTTGTACTGGTAGCAAGGTCAAATGTTGAAAACGCAATGTCAAGTGAAGAAGAATTTGTATAGTTTTTCTTAATTTTTGTATTAATTAATAATATATTATTTTCTATTACATTTCATCTGATCTTTACAAGTTTTGCTTACTTTATTTTTGATCTGGAATAGCTCTAGTACTTATGTTATGTATCTATTTAAAATATAATAAAATTTAATTTTAAAAGTTTTTTGTCTAACTCTACTTTCACCCACAAAAATAAAAAGTTCAGCTTAAGTCTAACGGACTCTACGTACATTCATGTATACATATGACCTTTAGTTACTTAATATTGTAGAACATTACACTTATGGTTAGTAACATGAAAAACAATATGACTGACAAAACAAATGAACAGTTTTGTTCCGTCACGGTTACAACTCCTAACTAAAAAAAACACAATACCGAAGACTAAAAAGGAACATACTGGACATGTCCCCTATTATATATAACAAAATACCGAATGAGATAAAAGATTTAACTTATATAAAATTTAAAAAACTTTTGTCTTCTTTTTTAGTTAACAAGTGCTATTACTCCGTAAATGATTTTCTAATGGATAAGACATAATTTTGTAAGAAATTACTGAATAAAAATGTATAAAAATGTACTTAAATAATCATCTATCTATCTGTCTATCATTGTATCACAAATCACAGGAAATATAATAAAATTGTATAGTTAATTTTAATTATGTAGTTAAGTTTAATTTATAATTTCAATTGTACGAGTATTGTTGATTTGACTTTGTTATTTTATTGAATTGTTAATTTTCATCTGTAAAACACTTAATATGAATTTATAAATATAATTGCATGGTTAATTTAATTTCTAATTTTAATTGAATGGTTTATTTTAATTTATAATTTAAACCTAATATTTTCATGCCTTATGGTAGAATGTACCTGGAACTTATACTAAAATCTATTTGTATACCTATATTCTGTACCTACATTCAGAGCAAATAAATATTATTATTATTATTAAACATAATCAACATAAAATATAAAAAGAGCTACAAAATCTATTCTTTATTGATATTGAGTTTATTTAAATAATAATAATCAAAGCACCAATTCATGTTAACAAAAAGACAAATTGATCTTGTGTGAGGTAGGATTCCTCACACAAGTAATTGTGTAATGAAACACTACATTGTGTATAATTATTGTGTTATTTTTCTCTCCGTTCGAAGATATTAGAATGAACCGAAGCTGACATCTGTTTTGATATTATAATACTACTAGTTATAGTTTCAAAGAGAAATGTTAAAATGTATGAACATAAGATATACAGACCGGCATCTGTTGTGTAAATGTCACGTGACTTCATAAATAACGCAACCATTATAACTAGACCCTGCGGTCACTACGATGAATTTCGTTAACATTATAGTGAAATTGTTGTTCTTATATTAATAAGTTATATACATTCAAATATATTTATATATTTTTTTAAATAAACAGTATTATTATTTGGGGTGTTCTTTTGTACATAACATACTGTCTATAAAACATATTGTATATTTCGTTATACACTGGTGCCAAATTAAACAATGAAAAACTTTATACTTGGTTTAATATAAGAGGTGTGTACAGAGTTGCGATCGGAGAGAGAATAGACAGAATGACCGTTGACAATTAATAAAGTTACCTTTTAAACAATGAATATTATATGACGTTAGTTTACTACTAGTGTTGTCATTATAAAAGATCAAGAGCAAACAGAATAGTAAAATATATATATTATATAAATGTAGGCGTTACGCGCCGAAACACTTATAAAGGGCTAAAAATGAAACAACTCATGAAGTTAATATTCTATGGTATATTAAACATAAATCGTGCCAAATGATACTTTGACCACTTAAAGTTATACACGTTATATTAAATGAGTGAGACACAGACCAACGTTACTACTACTAGAGTTTTGTTCAAGGATAGTAATGATACTAATGTGTAGTGTGTTGTGTGTTGTCGAGGTCCGGGTCCCGTCAGCCCGACAGGTCTCCGTGGTCGAACAGGTCCTGGTCGTATAGTCGGGCGCGCACCGTGCGACCTCCGAAGTACCGGCCAGAGAGAGCCCCCGCCGCCGCGCCCGCCTCTGGAAACACACGGACAGGTTATATTACAGATGAAGGTTATTAATGACGTGTTTTACAAACATTAGAATAAGTTTTTGAGAACTGTTGATATTCTCAAAATGTACAATGCCGCCACCCCTTCCTCCGATCATTTAAAGTTGGATTCACACCATTACGGAGATCACAGTTCAGTTTGGTGTAATCCCGTCAATACGCTAGGGTTATGCGCGGACGCCGTGACTGATGTGATGAATTAGTTATTAGACCATACTATAATATACTATTCTTAGCCCAGGGTTCAATGTTCATTAGCCACAGAAACATATTACAAAATTTTAATCTGGAATGCATTTCTTTATACATATGTATATCACGAAACAATCTGCTTCACCTTCTATAAGTAAAGGTTTCTTCTCAAAGCAATTTCTTGTCAGTCCTCATTACCTCCTCCACTAAACCTTTTGGACCAGACAACAGCAAAAGGAAAACGCAAAGCAATATACTATTGATTTTACCTCACACTACCTCCTTCCTCATACTCACAGCAAACAATTAGACCTGTGTGTTTGTTTCTGTTTTCTAAACTACAACATGAGTTTCTTCAAGGCAAGAACAAATAGACTAGTAAGTTCTCTATCTCGGCTTTGTTTTAACTTACTTTAGGGTGGAATGATATACATTATTTATAATAATTACGCAATGACACAATTTTTTTGACAAAATCTTACTCGTTCATAATATTATAAAGGTTAGTAAGCAGTGGAGTGTACTCACCCTCGGGGTCGGCGAACTGTACGAATATCTTGACGTCAGCGTGTGCGGGGTCGTCGTCCTCGCTCTGCCTCTCGTTGTATATGACTAGTCTCTCCACGCGGCCCCACTTGCAGCATTCCTCCTGTATCTCGTGGTGCAGCGCGTCGTCCACCTCGTGCGCCGCCACCATGTTCTCCAGCAGCACGGTCCTGCTCGCGCGCCGCCTCATGAGGCGCTGCATCACGAGGTGACGCGCCGACTGACCCGAGATGGACAGCGACTCCTGCTGCTGGAGCGTGTCCGGGGAACTGTCCAGGAGCTTACGTTGGAGCGCCGCCTGCTGGACCACCTCGCCCTCTGTGGGGGGCTCGGGGGCGGGCGGGCGGGGCGCGGGGGGGATCACTACACCCGGCGGGGGGATCACCGGCGGGGGGGGCAGCGCGGCCGGTAAGGAGGCGGGCAGCGTGACTGGCAGCGCGGCCGGGAGGGTCACCGGGAGCGCGGCGGGTAGAGCGGCGGGCAGCGTGGCAGGCAGAGCGACCGGTAGCGCGGCGGCGAGTGTGGGCAGCGCGGCGGCGGGCGGCACGCCAAGCGCGTTCAGCTTGGTGAGTCCGAGCGCGACGGCGTTGCTGGCGACGGCGTCCATGGCCTGTATCTTGGCGGTGGCGGCGGCGGCGGCCACGGCGGCCGCGGTCGGCATGGCGGAGGCCTGCGGAGGACCGGCCAGCGCGTTGGGAGGAGTGATGGCGCGCCCCACCCGCAGGTACTGCCCGCCCAGGTCGAACAGGTTCATGGACGCGATCGCCTCGAGCGCCGCCGGAAGGGTCGCGTACTCAATGAACCCGTAGCCCTTGTGTTTGTGCGCGGACGCTCCGTAAGCTAGCTTGCAGTACGTGATAGGACCGAACGCCTCGAAGACGCTGTAAATAGTTACACGATCGTATTAGAAAGTGGGATTATGAACAGTCTTCAGCTTCACTTCGACTTCAAGGGAAGTTGCAGGTTCAAATTCGAATCCATTAATCAATTTATTCATTATTAAATTATGGATAAAAAATTAATTTTATAACTAAAGCTGAGACCAAAATGACAAAACATAATAAAATGGAAGCATTAACAGTTGTACCTGCATAATTCTTATTAAATATTTGTTTCTACAACGCCTCTTGTATGATTTCTTCTGATATTATTAATAGTTTCTTATTTAAATTATGTTTTTTCTCGCTTATATTTTGAGTCTCTATTTATTTTATTTTATTTTTATGTAATACATATATTTATTGTTATTTGTAAAATCACTTAATAATTCAATTTATAGCGAACGTTGATGCCCACACTAGGCTAGGCCTGTATCGTGGACATCGATTAATTTCTAGCTGACAAATTTCAGTAAAATTTGAACTAATAGAATTTGAAATAATAGAAAATTATAATCACACAATTAATTATACAGGGTGACTGGTGAATTACTATCGATACTTGAGGACGTGATATTTGACGATCATATATGACAAAATAAAAATTAATATAACATAAATATTAATAAACTTCTAAGTAAAGTTAACCAAAAGTTATGTAATTAATTACGCATCGAGTGAACACCCTACAGATTAGGTATACACACGCTCACACATACGCGTGCGGCGGCGTGGTGTTGTATCAGCACGCCGCCGCACGCTGATACAACACCACGCCGCCGCACGCGTCCACACTTGGAACGTGTCAACACTTTATTTATTTATACGGAATTTTTGTCAAAAATTAAGTGCCTTTTTTTTACATAATTCGAATGAGAATCATGTACCGAGTATTCTCCTTAAATATTGATAGTAATTCACCAGTCACCCTGTATAAGGCAAAAAAGAAAAACTGATCAATCATTGGAAAGTGTGATTTGTAAGTGTAGGAGTTGTGAGAGAGGATTTGTGTGTGTGTGTGCGTGTGTGTGTGTGTGCGTGTGTGTGTGTGTGTGTGTGTGCGTGTGTGTGTGTGTGTGCGCGTGCGTGTGCGTGTGTGTGTGTGTGGGTGTGGGGTGTGCGTTCGTCCATATTGGTGTGTGTCTCTAAATTTATCTGAAATTAAAGCAGGCTTATTATATAATTTAGTATTTTTTTAATTTCTCTATTTTTATAAAGTATTCGGAATCTTCGTAAGACCAACTTATCAATAAATTTATGATTTTTATTTTTACTTTTCTGTATGAGAGGTTTCTCAGGGAGCAAATCTTATTAATTTTATTTTCAATGTAGGGAAAGAGAAAAAGAGGAAAACGTGCTGCGAAAGCGGTTTTTACTGCAAAACTTGGAACCTTATATGTGCGGTTTGATGTATTATTGGGTACGGAGGAGTTTGATACAATTTTGTGAGTAGCTAAGACGGCTTGCAAAATAAAAAGGCGTCGTACACTTAGGAGTTTGGCTTCTTTGTACAAGGTTGTTGTGGGGTAATAATATGGTTTTTGAAGCATCACTTTTATGAGACAGCGTTGCCATCTTTCCAGTGTATTGAGATGTCTTTGAGCTGCCCCACCTCAAGCCTTTATGCAATAAGAAATTACTGACTGATATAACGTAAAATATACGGTTCTAAGAATATTTAAGTGTGCAATTTCCCTGAGCCGCTTAATAACGTGGATCAATTTGGGGCTTCTTGCCGACATAGCACCGATATGTTCCTTGAAAGTCATTTTCTCATCCAGCATGACTCCAAGGTATTTTATATTGGATACTTTTTGTATACCGGTACAGTCGCAAGTTAAGGTCTGCAGAGAATCAGCGTGTAATAAGCACTGCGGGTCGGTGTGCACTATTATGTCGGAGTCGAACCGACAGTGATCGATCGCAGTATATATTAATAGATATCAATGAAAGCTCACTTCTTAATATCGTCCTCGGTGAGCTCAGGGTGTATGGAGGCCACGTATATTCTGTTGTACTGCTTGGCCTCCTCCTGTATCTCGTCTATGACGGCCTGGGCCTGCGGCATGTTGGACGGTCTCCCCACCACCTTGATGTTTCTGTAAACAGAGCAATATGTTACACGTCGAGCACACACGCGGACGGTCGCTACCCCCCCCCCTCCTACCTGCCCCCCAGCATCACTCCGTTCATCTGCTCCAGGCTGAGCTGGGCCGCCTCCGGTATCTCGTACTCGACGAAAGCGAACCCTTTGTGTTTCTGTGTCACCGGGTCCCACGACATGTTGATGGACTTGATCGGTCCGAACGGCAGGAACGCTTGACGGATGGTGTCCTCCTTCAGCTCGAACGATATCGACCCCACGTACACTCTGGAACGTGCGTCACAAACATTATATAGTATAATTCAATAAACATACAATAGTAACTCGACGTAGGAAGGATCAGATCTTTTCAGCTTGACCGTCATGGACTCGACCGGCCGAGGCGGGAATCTCGAGACATCGCTGTCATCATTCGTTGGTTGGAGACTGTGTGTGATGGTGGAGCGTGTTGGATGTAGTCGGTACCTGCACATGAGCGCGAGCGCCTGTTGCCGCTGCACCTGCGTCCTCTGCGAGGCCATCTGCTGCTGTTGGTGCGCCAGAGTCTGCTTCATCAGCACCATCTTGATGCTCTGCTCCATGGCGTACTTCTTGGCTCGAGACACGGCGTCCGCTTGTTCCGAGGACAGCCGCGGCAGGTTCCCGCCCAGGATGGCCGGCAGCGAGGAACACTTGGCGCCCGGCCCTGACGGCACACACCACACCTCAGTACCGGCCGACTCATACACTCACATACACTCACTTGGAACCTCGTCTCACTCACCTGTGAACACGTCGCCGACCTGCAGCAGGTCATAGATGGGCGCCGCGTGGAAGTCTCCTGAAACACGAGGCGCGTGTCAGTACGAGTGACGTCACCGCTCACACACACACACATATCTCGCACTCGGCCGCGGCTTGCGTCCACACACACATACACTCACACACACAAACACAAAAACTAAATCGTCACACTTCCAGCACACACTGATAAAATATGTATGTACATATGTATTGAAGGTGAGATAATCTAGGAGTATTGTATTCTCTCAAAAATTATGATTAATTCTTTGAAACAAACTCATGATGAAAATAAATATAAGATTTTTATTTTTAATATAAAACTAATTTCTATTTATGTTACAAATTTAAGTACAGACTTGTAGTCACTTCCTGCTTTAAATGTGTAAATCATATCATTAATATTTCTTTTTTATCAATAATGCTACTGATTATTCTCGGACCGAAATAGTCATCGATTTAAATCTATGATCAGAACCAAAACCATTTTTGTTGCTCTCGAATTTGGCAACAAGGCAATATAACCGACTTAAAGGAAACAAAAAACACATTGTATATATTGGAAAAATCAAAATTTGGCAACAAATTGTTTCTTTTTATATATCTCTATGTAATGAAATATAACTACATTAAAAGCAGAATTTAATGTTACCTTGTTATAAGAGGTACATATTTGTTAGTCCCGAAAATAACATACTGATTGATTTTAAATAATAGTCCCAAGGGATCACCTTCGTCATGGAAGGGTATAAGGGTATAATGAGCGACGATAACATGAGACACGTGAAGTAAGTGTAACGATATGTGACGGAGGAGCGAGCACGAGCCGCGGCGGACACTAACAAACGATCATCGAGCACTCGGGGACCAAGGAGATATAATGAAGTAGGTACATTGTGACGGAGCGGAGCGGGCGGCGGCGGCGGCGGCCGACGACCCCGCACATTACCTAACTTATATCTAGCCTGAAACAGAAAGCAGAACACTCATCACTCGAGAGGCGACACACGCGAGGCGCGCCGGGACACGAGGGGACAGAAGACGGGGCGAGCGGACTCCTCGCGCCCACACACTCACCGCTCACGGCCGGGCACGCGCCGCCCACTGCGCCCACCGCGCCCATCACACCCACCGCGCCCACCGAGCTCGGCGGACAGACGGCGCCCAAGGAGGCCGGCGCCCCCATCCCCGCGCTCATCTCGATGCCCTGCAACTATCAATAATCAACTTAAAACTTATTACTCGTTCGAGAATAAATCTCATAGACTGACAATATTAGGCGAATTTTCAAATGGCAATGTCGTTAATAAAATTTACCATATCAAACTAAAAACAAGTAATAGGGAGTTAGAAGTTGAAAGTAAGTTAAGCTTAGTTTTTTAACCTTACATAAAATTTTCAAGTATCACATAACTCACTGTCTTAATGAATAACATAAAACGATTTTTTTTTCTTTCCGCTGTACAGAGTTAAGAAAAATACAATTCAATTACTGAAGTGATTGTTCATTCAGAATAAATTTTGTCAAGTTATAATAAGAGTAGTTTTATTTTAACTCAATGAGGAATGGTTGCAGTGATACAAAAAATCAATTGAAGTTAAATCAACAAGCTGTCTCACCTAATCATTAAGGGACATCAATAGAAACTTTTAAAAAAATCTCTAAGTGTGTTCATATCATATGTTTAGGGTACATACAGGTTACATTTTAAAAGTTTAATAATATTACTTATATCAGATGTGCTGCCATTTCAATTCCTAAAATGTATATACATATTATAATGTTGTTTGTGTCACTTATGTTTCTCCAGTAGTGTGTAGTGTGTGTAGTATCACTCCGAGAGTCCAAGAGTGGTCCATAGAACCTCGGTGATGTAACACGGACATCAACATTCACAACATTATTTATACGATAGAAAGACTGAATGACACAACTTGTTTTGATTTATGTTTGTAGACTTTTAATTTAACAACGACTGGAAATTAAGATGTAACCAAGAGCAGTACAGTTTTGTTATCATACTGTTATACTTGTATCAACATCTTTTTATAATGTTTTTCCTTGATCCACTGTCAAGTGTCACCGTCACAGAACATGTCTGCATCGTGTCATTCATGATCCATAAATACTTTCATCAGACAGAAATAATTAAATGTATGTAGGAAATATTACAATAACTCATAATAAAAATCAGATAATATTTATTGTTAAAGGAATATTAACAACCCGACACGTCAGAACTGAAACCTGAATGACAATTATTAAAATTCTACCAGCGGCCAGTGTTAAAATTAATTTAAAATTTTGTAATTTTTTTTGTTACTGTTTCATAGTAAAACAAAAGATAAGATTAATTATTTATTATATAATGATAGATAAATTAAAATTACAGTTTGGAACTAAAGACTATAAAGCTTTTACTACCCATTGATACAAGGATATCAATCATACATCCTATATGTCATATTCAACTTTACTATGGGAAAATTGGCCTCGGTACATTACATGCCTCCAAGTAGGTTAGTCATAAAATGAGTTACGAATACAAAAAACAAAACAATAAGTAAACTAAAAAAATATATATATAAGGTGTTGAGAGGTTGGGCTAAAATAACTTATACATATTTATGTAGTGACATTTGATTTAACAACAAACTGCTAGAAGAATAAAAATCATTCAGCTCAGATTGATGTGGCTCGTCTTGTACTCACTGACATGCTCTATATAGCAATACAATCATTCTCAGTCACAAAAAGAGTTAAATAAGTTCTTTTTAAGTTGTCATAATTAGTATGGTCCCTGCATATATTTGTTTGTTTCTTTGTAATATGCATACAGATACAGCGGATATTCACTTCAGAACAAATACTACAACTCAATGTAATAAGCAGTAGTATTAAGATAATCTAATATTAAAAAACCAAAATAAACCTTATAAAAATAAAGAGAACAATCCACTTATAGTTGAACTAATACTTATGAGAGAAATACAAATCAGCATACCTAAATATGTATGTGTTTTTTTTTGTCATTTTACGAAAGAATAATCAGAATAAATTTTTATATGTGTTGAATTAAGATTTCTTTAATAACTAGTAGGTGTTATGATGCAGTCAAAAATAAATTTAATGACATTAGGTTATTGAGTTTCGTTCTTATGTTTCTGGTTCTGTTTGTCTGACATTTCAAGTAATTTACTCAAAACAGCACTTGCGAGCTATGCTGGTACGATACCCAAAAGTAATCATTTTTCTGTTCATCAAAGAAACGGCAATACATTCGAGATTCACGATATAAGATAATCATAACTTACCAATTCCATATTTTGTGTCTGGAACGTTTTAACTAATATACACGTGATGATAAAATTGTGAAACTAACAGTATCCTTGTTATTCCTTATGGTACAAATATCACTGTATTTTAAGTAAACTTCTTACAGTAAAGTTTGAGCACATGAAGCAAATCTAAATTTACTTAAATTCAAATAAAAATTCTTAGCTACAAAATCATTACTATGACTTATTGACTGACAACGGTCAACGCCACACATAAATGACATTTCTATATTATGGAACTATGTAGTATATAAATATGTAGAAAAAATTCCGGTACTATGAATGAAAGACTATATTATACTGTAGATTTATAAGTTTAAATTGTAAGCTACTTCACTTTGGAAATATACGAACCGTATCTACAGTATTTGAGGAAGATTAAAAATAATAATATATTATATAATATTTTATAGTTTTAAGACTAACTCAAAGCTTCAACTTACAACTAATTCATTTATAATTTTTAATAAATTATTAAATTATATATTAATAATATTACTATTTACAATTATAACATAAGGTAAATATCGATCAATTCATATAAATGCAAACAAAATCGTCAAAATAAGAGAGTCACCGCTTCAACTGATACTTTTTAGAGTTGACATATAATACATTTTTGGTGCCTATTGATGGGACTTTTACAATTCATTTTTGAGACATTTGTTTTTTAAATATATAATGTTATGCTAGATAACTGAAATAAAAATATATATATTTAGGGAACACACATTTAATTTGAACCAAACCTTTAAATTCCCGAACGTTAAGCGATGACATTTGGTTCTTAACCCACTACCGCTAGATGGGGCTATCTCCCTTACTGGGTGGAGATATTAAATAATCCGCTGGCTCCAGGAAGCCGATTTGAATATATATTTTTTTTTTTCAAAATATTTAATTAAGACATCATTTTTATGCAGAAAAAAGAACTTTTACAGCAACAATCAGTTTAAATAATTTTTATGTATAATTACAGTACTTATGAATTTTTAAACGCTGTCTTGCAATACATTTAAAGGTACATAATTTTAAATATTGCGAGCCTTTCCTGTTTTAACTACCTGTGCGCCATGATGGAGTTATCTCGGAGCTGCACGTGCCTTCTGACTTCTGGCAAGGCGGTTAAAGAGAAAAAACTATTACCGGAATATTTTGTTCGAATATGGGCTGGCTCGTCTGTGGAAGTATCACCTTCTCACAGAAGATCGGCGTGAAGTATTTAGTCTTAAATGGCTGTGTTTGGTCCGATGAGCGAGAGAACCGGTTGCCCTGTCCCTTTTCGCATCCTTTCCACTCCTCCCGTAACGTATCCGCAAAATTTTTTTGGCTATGTCTATAGGCGACGGTATTTTCTCCGTCAAGTAGGCCGTCTGCTCGTTTGCCCCCTTTGTCATAAAAAAGTTTTGTCTACGCGATTTGTGTCTTTGTACTATGAATTGAACTTAAGATTTTTTGGTTTAAGTTATTAGGTATTGTGTTCTTGTTAAGGTTTGATTTGTTATTTAAAAGGGTTGGCTGTATAAGAACTAAATTTTTTAATTATTTTGGTAGTAGGTATCCTAAATATATATATACAGGGTGACTGGTGAATTACTATCAATATTTAAGGAGAATACTCGGTACATGATTCTCATTCGAATTATGTAAAAAAAATAGGCACTTAATTTTTGACAAAATTTCCGTATAAATAAATAAAGTGTTGACACGTTCCAAGTGTTCCAAGTGTGGACGCGTGCGGCGGCGTGCTGATACAACACCACGCCGCCGCACGCATATGTGTGTGTGTGTGTATACCTAATCTGTAGGGTGTTCACACGATGCGTAATTAATTACATAACTTTTGGTTAACTTTACTTGAAAGTTTATTAATATTTATGTTATATTAATTTTTATTTTGTCATATATGATCGTCAAATATCACGTCCTCAAGTATCGATAGTAATTTACCAGTCACCCTGTATATATAGAAACTTGGCCTTTATCAGAATTATATTCTGGTCCCATAGTGGCGTAGGTTAACGGGCGAGGAGAAAATAATTAACACTTTACGTATAGGTTATCGACGTAATTATTCAAATAATTAATTAACTCACTCTACAATTGACTAAACTCAATAGCCAAGGTTCAATTACAAAGTTCGCACTCAATATTTTTTTTGTTATAAAAATTAGGAAATAAATTTATGAAATGTAAACCAGTCTCGAAAGAAGAACTAAGAGATCGATAAATAGTTTTTTATAGGTTTTGAATACAAATATTATTTTTATCTATCAAAAACTGCTAATTGTGTCATCTCAAGATCGATATATTCAGCCAATCATAAAAAATATAAATTGAAATAAAGTTATACTTTTTATACTGTGTAAAGCTTTAGCAATATCTTATTTATGATATAAAAACTTTCGGTGGACAAAAGTAATTACTCATGTTGTTTATCTTAGAACTCCAGGAAACGTCGCGTATACGCAACGTTGGGAGTATCGTGGTCAGTTGTTATTAGTACAGAGCTTGCCATTGATGTTAGAAATTGATCGTTAACAATGGGTTCTCGCTATTTAAGGAGTAGAAGCTCTTTATTTTATTCAATTCACTTCCGTCAAATAGTAATTCCTAAAAATCAATAAGTGAGTGTACAGAAAACAGTGAATAAAAAGTAAAAAACTGAAACATTATGGCTGGGTATTCAGCACTATCTTCTCAAGAAATTCTAAGTATATTAGAAGAGGAAGGAGCTTTAGAATATGCCAATCAAATCGACGCCGTGTATACCCCCGACGGTTGACAATCTTACAGGCAAGGAAGGTCTAGATGATGACACGCTAGGTGATTACGACAATATTGTGCAGACTGATATCG